TCGGTAAGTTGGGACCCTTGAATACGCAAGTAATGTGATGTGCAACTGGGATGGTCATGGGGAGGCGGCCTTAGGCGTGAATAGAACTGCAATGGGCGGATTTGCTTAATGCTTGCAGGCTCGGAGCGAAGGATCGTCGTACGTAAGGTACCAACACCGATAAAGTACTGAGGTGAGACGTTACACCCGAAAGCACTGACTGCACTGTCGACCCCGAGCTTGTGTAATAACTCTATCATACCTTTTCCTTACCGACTCCACCAGAGAAGGCGATAAAGTGACTGGAGCTGCGGCCGACTTGGCGAGAGATGCAGGGAGCTTGATGATAGAAAGAACAGGACGCTATTACTGAGGCATCCAATTGGCTGGCATGGATGTATCAGGTAAGTAAGCATGCGCAAGCTGAGCATCCGCACATCCTAGTTTGATATGACTTGTAACCTTTTGGCCTATGAGTGCAGGGTGACCTGTGAGAGGCCTGGAAAAGGCGTGTGGAAACAGCTAGAGAGGAGCTACTGTAGGCAGGAAAGCAAGTTGCGTCCGTCTTGAATCGCGCGTGTTTATGTTACGTATCATACCATACGGAGGCGCGGATGAGACGAAGCGCTTTCCACTGAAATGGAGCAATAAGCGCGATGGATCTGGAATGAGTAATTTTGAGTTGTTTGAGTATTCTGAACGCCTTCAAGGTTAAATCATGAAGGGTTAGGAAGTTGGGAGATTAGGAAGGACGTCTTTTGGTGTTGCGGACAGTCCGGACAGTCCCTCAACAAGCAACGATGCGAAAGCAAGATGAGGAAACGAAGTGCTCCAAAAGGAGGATTGGGAGAAAGGGAAAGATGTCGTGCATATGCCCACGCCATGACATGATTCGAAAGGAGCGCCGTCAACAACAGCCAATAGCCAATAGTCAATAATCAATAGTCGATAGTCGATAGTCTATAGACAATAGACAATAGTCAATAGTCAATAGGCGGTAGTCGGTAGTCGGTAGTCAGTAGTCCGTAAAGTAGTCTGTAGCCTGAAGTACCTTAGTCCGTAGCAGATTATTAGTAGAAGCACCAAAGTATTAGAGTCTGAATACTCGAATTTTGGCGGGGGCTAAAGCATGATCTTTTAGCGCCTCTCACAAATTCTTGACCAACTTCTACCTTTGACCTTTCACTGGTGAACCAAACTTATCACAAAGTCCAGATCCCGGAGGCGAGAGGGATCAGACGACGAAGAAGAAGAAGGAGAAGAAGAAGAAGAGAATTGTCTGTCCATCCAACACCGGCTTCTTGATCCAAATGCGGTCCAAGAGGAAAGGCAATTCGTCCTAGATTCATCGTGATTGGTGCCTATGTCCAAAATGATGGCTGAGCAGGACGGGCCTACCTCGTTTCACCTCCTGATTTCCTGCCTCCTGAGTGCTTCTCTGCGGACGGCTATGCCCGACGAAACGAAGTACTGAATCTCTTACAATCGTGTTTTACCATGGAACCCGCAATGCGGGAGATGAAAAGGGTTTGTCCGTTGGTCACTAACAATCCTGATGATCAATCGACAGGCCACCGCGGCGCCACATCGGTTTTCTGAACCAGGAAATGCGTCTATTGGCAGCCGAGGCTGACGGTAGTCGTCCTCATGTGTGGGAGAAAGGCGTTTGCGGCCAAGGTCTCTCTCTCATGGGTCAAGATGCAGGATTTTGCCACTTTCTCGCATTCGCCTGTTCAGCTACTGCCAAGGCAATCAATTGCGACTCGTCTCATTGCCACGCTGAGACAGCGAGAATACGGGGCAAAGGGAGGGCCAGGGGGAGGATCAGATGCGACGTTGGGCAGCAGTTTTGGTAGGGTATGCCGGAGATTTTCACACCCGACTTGGTTTCTTGCCGGTTTGTTGACAAAGGCAGGAAAAGAGAGATGCAAATGTTCCGAAAAATCAGGGCAAGAGATCAACGTCTGATTTATTTTTGTGCGCTTGGGAATCTGGGATACTCTCGCATGGTCAGACGAGGCTTTTGATTGGATACCGACACTGACTTACATCGTCGATCTTTTCGCCTCCACACACCCAAGTCAGGTTTAGTGAGTCAAGCCTTCAGCCTTCAGCCTTCAGCCTCAAAGCCTCAAGCCTCAAGCGCCTCAATCTTTTTGCCCGAAGGAAAAGCCCTTTTTTTGCCCTTGTTTTTCCGGCCCCGAGAGAAGAAAAGAAAGTGCCATTGGTCAAGGATTTGTTGTGATTGGTCACCTGCACTGCTGCAACTCTCCTAGACTCATCGACTCATTATTCCTTAGACTCCCTCCACATGGGATCTACTGCAGGTACCCAAACTTCTTAGCGCCACTCCCCCCAAAGTCAATGCTGACCTTGATATAGGTATTCGCTTAGGTATTGGAAACTCCCCCAGCATTATTGTAATATCTGACAGCCTAACAAATCATTCATTTCATTGTTTTCTTTCTCTTCCCCTCCTTTTTTTCCAACTTCCAACTTCCAACTTCCAACTTCCAACTGCTTGTTATTAGTTATTGACAACTTGAGCTTCGTCAGACTGCAACACAATTCATCCATTGTGTAATCAAGATTGGAGGATCTTCCAACACGTCAAATGTTTCGTAAGCTCCTCGCGTGTTGGTCTCGTTACAAAACTGAGACAATCGTCCGCCGGAATGACCGCCCTCCGTAATCTTGATGATTACGCTTCAACCCTCCTTGAATGCAAGGCGATATCGTAAGCCGATCGTTCGACGCCTGCACTGTAGCAGTGAGCCGTTTTGCCTCGCAATTCTTCCCTCTGCGCATTAGGGTTTCTTGAGAACAAGGTCTTGAAGCCAGACTTCCCTTGCCAACCGTGCGCAACATGGTGATTCGCGCGGAGCCACCAGCTTCATGTGATCCGGAGGAGCTCAGAGTGTGTCGTAACAAGCATATTCCAAGTATCCCTGAAGACCTTTACCAAAACGATCTAGTATAGGCTCTCATGACTCTGTATGGAGCTAAAGAGGTTGTCACTGATGCAAAGAGCTAACCGCGACATCCTGCATTGCCCCTTTGTCAAATGTTCGCCAGTCGCCGCAGCGTTCCAAGTTTCTTTCTTCACGAGCATGTGATACCGACCAGGAAAACAACTCTATTACACCAAGGTCTGTTCGGAGTCAGTGGGTAAAAGGCTGAGGAGGCTAAACCTAGCCAACGTTTGGTGACGTACCGGTTCTATATTTCGACAAGCGTCTTGTGATCTTCCAAACCTCCCGGATTGTGCTGGCATAGAGCACTGAGGAGTCATCAAGTCAGTGTTGAGAGTATTCGATGGCTGGCGGCAGCAAAAGATCGTCTCCAGAATTGAGAAAGGCTGGTTGCGCATGGCTCTGCAGGGGACTGACGTCTGGCCGTCTATTCATACCTCGACTTCTCTTCCAGGTAAAACAAGGTTCTCTTTTATGGTCCATAGGGGCAGACGAGGTTTCCGACAACGGATAGACCTGTGATGGGAGGCTCCGTCTTGCGATTCCGAACATACCCAGGCCAGTCACAGTTCGTGATGGGGGAACGAGCTCCTGGAACAGTCTAATAAAATCATTCTGAATAAGCATATGCTCCTTCAGTATTCAATGCGCCCGCAGTATTAGATCATATTCGCTGAAGCCGCCAGCGGCTCTCCGCAGGTGTCAAGAATCCATCCAAACCACCTGATGGAAAATCGCCCAGGGAGAGTGGTGCTCTCATATCTGATCGAATCCTGAATGCAAAAGTCTCACAGCAGTATGGTGACAAGTGAGCAAAGGCTCTGGGTGGGGAGAGAGGCAGAGCGAGCACCGCAGCCATGTCATTGTCCAACATCTTCCAATCCGTGTCTCATTAAGTGTGACAGTTGTCTGTCTGTCTCTAGATTGTGCGCAGGTGGAGTGAGTAGGGGCACAATCAGTGTGTAGCAGAGTCATAAGCAGTCGTCGAGTGCGCCGGCTTTGCTGCTGTTTTCCCGCGCCTTGGCGTCCTGTTTCGCAAGGCTGCAGATCCACCTCCTTTTGTCGTGTCATCTGCCTTTTGAATTATTTGCATGAAGAGATGGACGATGTTGCTGTGGTCTGCTTCCCTACGGTGGATTTCTCAATCGGAACATGTGGACCATGGCATGCATGGTAGTCTGTCTTGGGCGGCTTTACCAACAGGTATTCAAGCTGTCACGACAACCTGAGTACTAGTACTAGTAGCGGTCGTTCGATCGAACAATCAGGCTTGAAAGGGTTCTGCGTAAAATTGCGAAATCTCGTGGAAATGCCTTCTAGTTAACCGTATCACTACTAACCAGGCTCAACCGTGTTTACAAGTTGAACAAATATTGGCCCGCATGTTCTGACCGAACCCTAGCCACAGTCACTTTACTTTGGCGCGTTTGTTGCTGTGCTCGTGCCCAGTGTGGGGTCGGTCACATATTTGCTGGTAATTCAACAAGGCATAGCAGTCGGGATTTCTGGCTACTCAGGAGAGCTGGATGTATATGCGACGACATCTGCTCATTTTAAAGAGGTCATGACGCTAGCTATAGTACTATCACATCACCATGGCATTGCTCAGTGAGGAGACGATCGGAAGGACAAATTCCTACCTGCAACAGTGACTGTCATCTCCGAGACCTTGTGCCGAGCCTTCGAGAAGTACCTTTGCTTTTGTGTAGCTGGTGCTTCACCGGCCTTTTCGCCAAACATGGATGCTTATATTCCCTATCGACCCCACCGCTCGCTCTGAACCTCTGGAGCAATTTGGAGCGCTCGGAGTCTTTGTTAGCTCGAGACGAGTCCATGGAGGGGACAATGGAAGAAATAAGACCGGGCTGATTCGTTCTTTACAAGAACTTCCTCTTTCTCTTGTATGCGGTTCAAGACTCTTTCTCGACACTTAAGATACTTTCGTGCAGTGCAACGCAAACAGAACTGCTAGTACCGGGGGGTTTCTTTGTTGGGGATGTAACGCTCTATGTACATAGAAACCAAGCCTGTCAAGATGGCAGTATCCATCTATCTCTTCACCCAAGCCGGCATTTTTCTTGCTTTCACGTGACCAGGTTTCTTCCTTTCAACACGCCGGGGATCTCGAGTGACGCAGCCAGCTAGAGGCGCAATCCATTAGCTTCTTCAAATTCAGAGGTCGGTTGAAGACTAACCCCTTCTCAGCGCCGGCTTCAAGGCGGGCTCGAAAACCATCAGCGCCTTCGCTGCCCCCAAGGTAATTGCCTCGGCCTGCCCTGTACTCCCCCCTCCACTGACTAGCGCCCAGACGTTGTACTTGTCCATTCTACCAGTAGCTTTTAGCGCCCACAATGCGCTCTCCCTGTCGTGTATCCTCCCGAATGCGCTATTAATGCTTTTGCCATTCACCAGCACCTCCCCTTCCCCCTGTACGAGATACACTTTCGCGGAGCTTGATTTTCGTCGTCCGACTCCGTAGGCACGTCCGTCAGCATCGATAATGTTGGGCCTCTTGGTGACAGCGTATGGATCGATGTCACGTTTGTAAATTTCCATGGCTTCTTTCAAAGGTGCGGGCATGACGGCGGGGTGTATCCTGTTCAGCCGCTGCAGAACCTCAACAACCTTATGATACTTGGATGCTCGTATAGGTTCGCCGACCAGGAGGCGGTATTGTGTGACAGTCCGCCATGCTACCCTTGGAGCCTGTGCTGGGGCAACGGTTGGAAGGGTTTGGTAACGGCGCAAGAGGGCTAGGAGATTGAGGTAGTTGTCCGTGGAATCAGGTCTGCCCGTGAAGTAGGACGGCGATGCGGGGACGACGCGGGCGTTTTGAGGATTGGATGGGGAGTTTTGTGTGAGGTTTACTGGGGGTGCAGCAATGGCTCGAGAAGAGCCGGTAGAGATGAATGTTCGTTTCCGCAGGATTTCACCGTGACATTTCGGGCATTGGATAGTCCACCGTGATGATAGAGGCCAGGATAGCTTGGAAGCCATGGCTCAAACCATTGAAATGCAATTATAAACCAAGGATGATAATCTTGAAGGAGATGAGCTCAAGGCTTTGAATAATTGAAGCCTCGAAGGAAAAGAGGCGGCGCTAAAAAGAAATAAGCGCGCCGAAATTTTGCAAAGAACAAACATCTGCTTCGCATCCCACACTTGACACGGGTTTCATATCCCAGTCACATCCCTCTTCTACAGCTCACAACCGCAGACATGTCTTTCGGAAAGTTATACACACGCGAGGTAAGCCTCCTGATGCTGTAGTACTCGCGCTGGAGCATACCTCCTGATCATAACTTCTGCAGGGGAACGCACGTTCCACAGCCATTCGAGCCGTCGCCAAGGCAAATAAGCTTGACCTTGAGATCGTTGACACGGACGTTTCCAAAGGGCCTCTCAGTACCGAGTATTTGAAGCTTAACAAGCTTGGAAGAATACCGTCTTTTGTGGGAGCAGATGGATACGAGTTGACCGAGTGCATTGCCATCGCCATATACGGTACGTTTCCTCCTTCTTGGCCCCAACAGTACCCTCCCATACATGATGAAAAATATTATCAAATACAGTTATCCCTGTCTGAAGACTACTGTTGAGAAATATTCACACTCTGACTATATCTTACCTTTGCCAAAACTGAACTTGAAACAAGACTCAGGACACGAGCTAATGCGCAGCAGTCACGTCTCAGAATGAGAAAACCAGCCTTCTCGGCAAGACCAAGCAAGATTATGCCTCCATCGTCCGCTGGATGTCTTTCGCCAACGCCGAGGTCCTCCCAGCCCTTGGGGGATGGTTCCGCCCACTCATTGGCCGCGATCCTTACAACAAAAAGAACGTTGACGAAGCCAGCAAAAATGCGCTTAAAGCGGTTTCTGTACTCAATGAACACCTCCTCGTACATACCTATCTCGTTGGGGAGCGTATCACTTTAGCCGATCTGTTCACAGCCGGCATCATCTCCCGCGGCTTTGAATTCTTCTTCGACAAGCACTGGCGTGAGGAGAACCCTAATGTCACTCGATGGTACGAGACTGTGTGCAACCAGCCGATCTACTCGGATATTGCTGGCAAACTTGATTTCATTGATGAGGCCATCAAGAACCAGCCTCCCAAGACAGAAAAGCAGGAGAAGCCTAAAAAGGAGCAAGCCCCAAAGGCACAACCTAAGCCAAAGGCTAAAGAAATTGAAGAGGAAGAGGAAGAGAAGGACAAACCAGCGCCCAAGCCAAAGCACCCTCTAGAAGCTTTACCAAAGCCGACACTAGCTCTCGACGACTGGAAGCGCAAGTACTCCAATGAAGAGACACGGGCAGTCGCACTGCCCTGGTTCTGGGAGAATTTCAACGCGGAAGATTATTCGTTGTGGAAATGCGATTACAAGTACAACGACGAGCTTACGCAGACCTTCATGACTGCCAATCTCATTGGTACGCTTCTGCCTCTCTACGCTGCTCCTCTTTTTTCTGACATTGGTGGCTAATGCTTCAATTTTTTGGTAGGCGGATTTTTCACCCGCCTCGAAGGTTCCCGGAAGTACATCTTTGGCTGCGCCTCTGTCTACGGCATGAAGAACGACTCCATTGTCCAAGGTGCCTTCGTCATCCGTGGCCAGGAAGCTCTACCTGCCTTTGACGTCGCACCCGACTACGAGAGCTACGAATTCATCAAGCTTGATCCCAGCAAAGCCGAAGACAAGGAATTCGTCAATGACCAGTGGAGTTGGGATAAGCCGATCGAGGTTCAAGGGAAGACATATGAGTGGGCGGACGGGAAAGTATTCAAGTAAACCCTGTTTACAAAATCAATAGCTATCAGAGAAACGATGACTCCGAACATGGAAAGCTGCTATACGTGATACAGAGCTGAGCGCGTCTTGTTAAGCGATTGACGAATTGATGGTCACTCCCTCTTGCGACAGCACAGAAGCTTGTTCACTAGACCCCCGCTATTATAGATCTGGTCACAAAAAAGCATAGCATTCACAAAGAATCTCGCAAAACTGTCTCAGAAATTCCGATTGATTGACCCATGTGATGATGTCTTCAATGCTTTCTTAGTACCTGGGATTAATCTCGACCGAAATAGCCAATAAATCTCCAATTCTCTAGCTAGCCAGCTAGTAGATGAGTAGTGACTGCCAAGTCGTTTTCTCAAAATTCTTGAGGTCGAAAGCTTGCTGCTCGGTCAAGGCCCATGAACGGATTGGTGAGCTTTTGGAAAAAGCGACGAGGCCTCTCGCCTTCAGACTTCATTTCCACATCTCCGCTTTGCAGCAAGGTATATGGGTGTCGATGAGAAAGAATCCACTGGCCTGATCGGCTTCGTCAAAATTCTTGACGCACTACTCGTTTCTCGAGATGCTATGGCAAGGCAGTGATGATGGCGGAGCTTGATGGACCTCGGAATGACCCTCGTTGAAGCATCGCTACGCAATTAGTGTTCCAGCTAATGGGGCGGCAATCGGAGGATCAAACGTGGAATCAAGTGGCGGAAAGACGGGATGCAAAGCATACACCGGCCCTTTGGATTCTTCGCCATCAAATAACAGGAAGTTCTGAATTGGCTGTTCTCTCTGACCCAAGACATTGATGACATCCTGAGCAAGCTGGCCGCCCAAGAAGGCCGTTACTGGCGCGAGCTCGCTTCCAATGTTTTGCAGGAAGCTTCGGAGGAAGTCACTACGTAAAGTTTCGGACGGGAGCTGCAACTCCTTGTGCTTCTCCGTTGCCAGCGTGGTGAAGAGCTCAAGATCAGCGTGCCTGTGTGTTGGTATTGCGCCAGAGATACTGTGGAATTCCCACAATGCTCTCATACAAGTCAGAAGAGGAGAGACCTGAAGCTTGCGTCTTCGAGAATTAACCTGGTCGGTAGGTAGTGGGGAGGTGTTTGCGAGCACCATTGGCGAATAGATTTCTCGCTTGGTGACCATTTCAATCACTTTCCCATTTTCTTTCTTGGTGCTAGTAGCCACAATTGATCTGGTGAGGGTTTCTGCTGTCAGAGCTGTTGGACGATTTGACTTTTCGCGTTCAACTACATAGTCATGCGAGATTAGGTCTGCAAATATGTAGCCGTAAAATCCATGGGTTCCTGAAGCGTAGAAAGGTCTGTTGCATAGGCGGCACGAAGCGTTGATGGTTGAAAGAGTTGCAAGATCCAAATCGGTTGCAATGATCATGTCGAAGGGAGCAAAGTACTCAGGCTGCTTCAGAGTAATGTCCTCGGTATCAACGCGAAGAGATACTCTGGGATTCAGCCGCCGTATCTGAGGCGCTGCTGACTCGGCACGCTGTCAAATGATTAGCCTTGAGGTAGATTCTGTTGCATGCAATGTTGAATGTCATACATTCATGCCGATGTCTTGGTCAGAGATGAAGAACTGCGCTCCAAGATCATCGTCTACAACAACTTGGCTGTCTTGCACAGTCAGAGAGCCTATACCAGCAAGCACAAGGTTCTTAGCAATTTCGTTCGCAAGAGCTCTCATGGTGATAAGGAGAACATTTGCAGTTCGTAGCCTGACGAATCGTAAGTCCATGGATCAGCAACTTAACAAGCAAGCTTGCCACCTTTCCTGAGCTTTGACGCCCCACAAGCGTATCTGTCGGTCATACAGTGCAATCTCATCTAAAGTTCCGAAATATTAGTGAATTTGAATGAAGAAACAGGAAGCGTGTGCGTTGACACACACCTGCGCTGATTGACTGAGTCTTATCTGAAATGTCGGATTGTAGTTGAGGATGATCTTGGAAGTGAATCTGATTTGTGGCATGAGCTGAGGCGTCTCCATTGGTGGTTGATGAGACTCCATTGGTTGCCGAAGGCTCCGTCATTGGCTGATGCCCGGGATTCATGTTGTTGTGATATGTAGCAAAGGAAGGAGATATGTGGCACTTGATGAAGTAGAAGGGAGGGAAATGGGAGGAGAGGAATGATGGATGGATGGAGCAGAGGAAGTAGCAATCAAGTGTCAAGGCAAAATATGCTGATGTGCTCTGACTCTGAGCCTCTGAATAACAGGTACTGTATGCTATTAATGGGGTGAATACAGTACTTACAGAGTAAAGTACTTTGACTTGTTAAGCTTACCTTACCTTATTAGCAAACGCGCGCTGCATGAATTTCGTTAGTCGCGGAGAATAAAGAAAACCTTACTTTACTGACGTGAACTTGTTAAGTACTTTACCACTATAGTCTATACCACCACCACCACCATTAAGTAAAGTACTTTACTTTACCTTCGCCATGGTGCTAGTGTTTGCTAGACTGCTAGTGTAAGTAGGGTGCTCGCCGTATCCGCCTGGCTCACTCGCCATCATTTCATCAGATCAGCCATACGCTCGAGTCCTCGACTAATCGACTACATCCACACTCCAACTGGACACTTCAACTGAATAGTGACGACTTATTCATACTGCCCTGGAGCCTGACTATCCACTGTCTCCCATCTCTCTGGTCAACGTTGTTTGATCAAAGTCGTTTTCGAACCAGCTCCATGCAATCAACTAGCTACTTTACAATACTCATGCCTGCCGTCCAATGACACGTCCATTTGCTTCGTCCACCATGGTGAGTCTACCTTGGACCACGACCTATACCCGCTTGAAACCCATTCTTAGCCAGTCTTGACACTGACGGCCAAGCAAGTCTGGCAACTTCGACTTCCCACCTGCAACTACGAGGCAAGGCCAGGCTCCTTCCTTCCACGATGCCTCCAACATTGTTCGAGAAACTGCATCGCATCGCAACGCTCTACGACATAGGATCGAAGAAGTACGGCGATTGAGAGACCATATGAATAACTCGGACGAGCGTCAAAGACTGCGAGTGGTGCGAGAAGAGTTGAGGCGTAGAACCACTGCTGAGCCGAGGCCTGCCAATGGAAATACAGCGTCTGATGCCCAAGCTCCAACTTCTGCTATGAGATCCCGACTCGAAAATGTTCGTTACCGAGCTCGTCAACGTGTACAAGACCGAGCGACTCCGTCGGGAAGTGGGGGAACCGTACAACAAGCGGTGGAGCGACTCAACGAAGCCAGCTCTAATCTTAGCTCATTACTCGACCAACCAATTCCGAGGATTGAATCTCCAGATATGAGTGCTCGAGAATACTCAGGCGAGGCAGAAGTGAACAGAAGACGGGCCAAGCGCCGAAAATTGGATGCTGATCCTTCATCTGCTGGCCACCTGAGAGGTTTTAGCTATGGGTACCGTGGACAAGTAGTACCCGGACCTCTGAAGATGGAAATCGTCAGCTGCGATGGTGGCTTACACACGGAAGCAGCCAGACATGGCAGAGAGTATTGGCCTGAGAACGTGCTCCGTAACGACAAGAGCGTCTATTGCACCGATAACAACAAATGCAACCTGATTTTACGTCATATGGGGGAGACTACATTTTGTTTAAAGAAGCTTGTGATCAAAGCCCCCGAAAGAGGATTTACAGCACCGTGAGCCTTCACGGGTGTCTAAATGGTTGTTGAGCTAATCTCCTGTGCTAGCATACAAGAAGGCATGGTCTTCGTTTCTATGTTAGCTTCTGATCTCCTTACTCGTACTGCTCAGTATCAGATGCGGGATCCTTCTCCGCTCCAGGAAAGCGAGGACCTGGAGCCTCTATTCTCAGACGACGCAAATGAAAGTCGACCCCCCTCTCGCAGACGAGACTCGAGTGCCCAACGCACAGTTCCTCCTCCAATCTCGAATCTAGCTGCTCGTAGCAATCGATATTACCATACCAGAGGTTTCAGGACCAGCGGCCAACCCTTTCCAGCAATCGACCTCCGCCATGATTCTACTCCGCCTTCCCAAACTTTCCTTCCTCCAGAGCCTGCTGACTTCGCAGTAACAACCTCATGTAACGACCCATCTTCTGATGAAGAAGAACCGTCAAGCGCCGCTACGCTGGCCGATCGCCTCCGCCGCGACCACCTTCCGTCACCTTTTGAGCTCTCCTCTGAAGAAGATACAGAAGACGGCTTAGAGCGCGGTATGCGACGTGCAAGGGTCTTGGGGGTTTCTTCGAGTCATACCTACTATCGCAGAAACAGTCGCAGGGCGGAACCGAGCAAGATTGAAATTGTCGGTGCTGCAGACGTTAGTGGAGATGGGACGGAGAACGAAAAAGTTTTGGCTCCGCATGCCAGGTTCTTCATCGAGAGAACTCGCAGGTACGTTGTTTTGGAATGATTTAACCCTACTCTGTACCCAATTTCGAACATAAGACAAGCCAGGGAATGTTCTCATGTTTCAGAAGTGTCTTGGAAGTGTTTTGGAAGTGTTTTTGTCTCAAAAGGATTGTACTGACTCCGGAATATTTAACAGTGTGGTTAGTGTCAAATTTGACCCACCTGTGTGAGTACATACATGTCTATACACTCCTTCTTGACTCCCGTCTAGCACCGAACGTAGTGCGGAGGCCCTTTGGCTGATGGTAATCACTCAGGTCCGGCAAATTCATCCTCCTGAAGCTGTGGAGTCCATCCAAGGAACAGAACATCGATATTCAAAGCATCGTGGCGTATGGTTTTGCGGGACCGAGGTTCTTTCCTGCTGCACAGATGACGTGAAGGCCCCTGCTAGCCATTGAGGAGTTCGTTGTTTTAAGCATTTGATTGGTTGAGATCCTGCCTTCTCTTAGGCATAAACGATAGATCGTGAGGAATGCTTTGAACTGTTTGCGGAGGGTATTTGATCTTTACAGGTGCCTTTGATGATAGGCCTCAGGATTTTAAATGATTGAGCCCAGTGAAGTTCGTGGAATGAAAAATAGTTCAGTCTCGCTATGGTATCTTAGGCTATGAAGAGAAATGTTCGCCAATCAGTCGACTAGAAAAGCCTAGAATCGGAAGTATGCTGTGCAAAAAGGAGTATCTTGGGGCAAACGACCGCTCGATGGAAATGGCGAGGAGTGCACCCACTGTTATCCATAACATCGGACGCCTAGCTCTTGAACACTAAAACACTAAGGTCCTCCCACGCTGAGCGTTTCCAACCCTCCCACTCCTTTCTCCTTTCCACTGGATCATCATCCCATTCATGAACATTGCCGTTTCTCATATGTGTCCAAAAGGACGATCGGTCCAACCCATGATTGAAATGGCAACGCTGTCGTTCGTGCACGGATGGCTACCGTTCGATCAATGGCAACCCACAGTCTCAGCAGACAACCACATCCGCAGGATCAGACGCTCCATTCACCCCAGAGGCTATGAAACCTCCATAATCTGGCATACCTCTAGAATTATTGTGCTGTGGGAGCTCCACCACGTCCATACCGATGCCACTGTCATCGTGACTCTGCACGAGCTCGAAATCTGTTTCTTTGGTGATATGCTGGGGTAATGGTTCGTCGAAGTGTTCTTGCGCAGATCCGTCCATTGTGGCAGGGGAAGCAGGATGATTATATCTGAAATGCTGCAGATGTGGATCGAGCTGACCATGTTCACGGGGAAAGTTATTCCTCGTGTCAACACTTCCATAGCGACTAGGCACATCAACGCTGTCGCTGACTCCAGTCCTTGGTCTCGAGCCTCCGCGAGTTTCAGTCTCATTATCATCCACGCCGAAGCCTGCCTCGTACGCAGACCTCTTTTGCGGTCTCATCTCCATGCTACTTGGCGAATGCTCCAAGAAGCCTCCTTTCTCGGCCATCCATTGGAGCATCTCGTCAACCCAAACTTTAGTAACCCACCACGAACCGAAGCTCAATGCCTGCGCCATTGTGATATCGCGTAATGCAGCCGAGCCAACCTCGCCAACACAATGAAGAAGGAGGCGAGCATCGATACCAGGAAAGCGAGACGACAGGTCGTACAGAAATGTGGTCCACCGGTCTAGGACACCCGATGTCGAACTGTCATCCATCTCATGGTGTGATTGCTGCGAATATTTCAGGCCCGCGCTAGACGCAGCGTTGGCGTAGATTGATTGCATGCCCGGATAAGAGGCGTCCCTGAGAGGTCCGAGTAGCTCGCGGACCTCATTCGTCAAGATCTGCAGAGTGCGTGTGTATCCCCGACCCGGAAGGCTGCTCTCAACAACACTTACGGGCTTGACATAGTAGACCCAGTCGTGCCACATTTGATCCCGATTGGCATCATTTGTAAGCATGTTTGCAGCTGCGTGAGCTGTAGCGTTGACACGAAGAAGGCGATCAATCAGGCCGGCGAAAATCGTTGCAGGACCAAGTTTTGCATCGCGGACGTGCTGCGGGTGGTTTTGGAAAGTTGTTGAGATGTGGGTGCTCAGTTTGCTGGATATGTTTCGGAAGGTTTCCGTGACTTTCGGTGGCATGACTTGGAGAGCGAGAGGAGATACAAACCGTATCATTTTTTGATACATAAGCCAGTCGCATTCTTTGATCCAGCTAGCAATGTTTAGGTGAGCGAGCAACTTTTGGACCGGGACTGTCAACGTCCCATGAAATGAAGAAAAATGGTGCCAGAACATTTTCTCCTTGCAAAACCGAAAGGTGTCTATGACGGATATGCAGTGAGTGCGGTATAGAGCTACTAATGCGTTTGCAGCATCGGGGTCAGTTCCGGTGGGTAGGTAGCGTTGCAGACTGGGCAGCTCAATAGGTTCGTTATGTGCGTAGGGAGGCTCTTGTTGAGTCGGGAATTTGAGCTCTCGACTGACCATATTGCGACCAGAGGGACCATGGTAGATTTTGGGCGAAGCAGGATTGAGATACAGGCAGCCCGGGGCCTTTTGGTTACGCATGCTGTTATGTGAAGGATCCGGTATGAAATGGGTGTTAGGGGAAGGAAAGATAGCAGTGTCAGCTCCGCATTGGGATCTGAAGCTGTTGTGCAGACTAGAGTCAGGACTTGAAAGAAAGATAAACAGCAATTTCTAAGTCAACGTAGCAACGTGACGAAAGCGTCGCGACATGGAGTAGCTTACCTTCTTGTAACCGAGCCATCTGTTGCTCCAACAATATCTCCTTCATTTTGGAAGTGCTCACCACCGGGACCTTCAGGGGGGTCATCTATCAAGGTGAGATCAACGTAATGGTACTTCGATTTTCCACGTATTCCGAGTCGCCGAGTTTGAATGCCGGGGAAAATGAAATTGACGAGCTTGCCAAAGCTGGCCGGGTTTAGGGGAGACACTCTCTCATTGCCGCACCTCGTTGCGTAATGAGAGTAAACTCGATTACGGGTAACTGAGCTGTTGCCTCTTCTACATATAGAATTTAGCCTACGATGCAAGATTAGTTGGTATATGCCTGCATCAGTCTGACGTGCTGTCTCACCAATTCATTGCAAATATCTGTTTGGTTTTCTCTGATCTTGGTCCTCTCTCATTTGCAAGTACTGAAGCAGCAACGTCGTTCAAATCACGATCTTTGTTTGCGGCGAAAAGCTTTCGGAGCTCGTTGTCATTAGAAATGCTCGAGGCCGAGCCTTTCTTTTTCCTCGTTTCTCCAGCTCCTGCATCATTTTGGGTCTGCTCATTGGTGAATGTCATGACAAATTGTTGCCCATGACTATCCAACGAACGATTGTGATTCATCAATTGTCTCATTGCATCACTGTTTCCATTATACGAATCTTCTACACCCATTGCCTGCGGTCGAGCAGCAGGGTCTTGCAGCGACGGATCGATCGCATATTGCTGGTTTAGGTCTGGGTTGGTCAATTGCTGCTCAGAACGTGTGACCGCGTCTTCAGCAGAATCTTGTAACAGTGTACTATGGGCTGAATGAGCTTGAGGTGCTTGAGAAGATTCAGGCAGATGCTGATGTTGCTGCGCAGGTTGTGCGCAGGTTTTAGGAATGCTTGTCGTTGAAGCGCGGGAGAGCGGTCGTGGACAGATTGATTGGGGACGGCTGCTCGCAGTTGAGCCAGATGTGCTAGATCGTGGTCGTGCAAGGCCAGAAGCCATATTCGTGGTCTGTGTGTGAAGTTGCGACACTGTCACATGAAAGTCAGCACCGCAAGTTGGGGATACATTGGATCAACAAATACAGGAAGAGTGCACCGGTCGGTATTTGACGGCGCTGATGGGTTTTCAGAAGTCGGACGTCAGTGAGTTTGGTTTCCAAAGGGTTCAGTAACTATCCCGAGCTGTTGTGCAGCACAAGGTTAAGAAAATAGGTTTGTTTGTGGGGAAGAAGTGGCTGGATTTGGAGTCGATGGCACTGTCGCCGCTGCGATAACCGTGCCGACGCTGGCACAGATGGCACTTGGAACAGACTGCCTTGGCCCTAGACCATGTATGGCTCCAACTGAGCCAGGAAGCCCTAGGAACGTTGAGCCTTGGTGCCCTTGGATTTCAGTTGACGTTGGATCGTTGTTTACAAAACTGGTTGCGATGGGCGATGAGTGCAAGACACTAGGCTAGCACTAGGGTAAGCTTAGCTTCGTATTTTTAATTTTACGTCGATCCCTCATGTGCCAGAAAAACCAACACGTCTCCAGCTACGAGTGCTCTACAAACATTCAAGCCAATTCGACCGAGTCCAAGACTATCTCTCATTTACAACCTTCGATCCTCTCACTACCGCACAATTCTTCTCTTTCCATCCGCAATCCTTAAACATGTCTTTCCAAGACCGAACACAGCACCAGATCGGCCAGATTGATAAGGAGGTACGTTCTTCCCACCGCTCGCGATAAATCTCCATATGCCTACAGCTACCCTATATCATCTCGTTAAAGGATTGGGCTTACGGAAAGATGATATAGCTGTCCAAATATCCCATGCTCAACAACCTCGAGAAGCAGACTTCGGTGCCTAAGGTCTACGCCTTCCTCGGCCTCGTCGGCATCTACTTCTTTCTTATCTTCTTCAATATTGCGGGCGAGTTTCTTGTGAACTTTGCCGGGTTCCTCGTCCCAGGATACTATTCCCTGGAAGCTCTGTTCAGTGCGAGCAAGGTTGATGACACCCAGGTAAGCATCTCCATCCATACACTGCTTTGATCTGAATCCTATGCTGATAGCTTCCTTAGTGGTTAACAGTAAGTCAAGCTCGCTTTGAGTGATGTCCTGCATCTATAGGACTGCTTTGATGATAATTGCAGTATTGGGTCGTCTACGCATTCTTCTCCGTGTTCGAGAGTGTTGTCAACGCTGTCTACTGGTTCCGTGAGTCCAGGGCCTCATGTAAGAATGTGCTTTCCTTATTGCTAACAAGCAATAGCCTTCTACTACACCTTCAAGTTCGTCCTCGTCTTGTGGATGGCTCTTCCGCAAACCGGGTAAGTTTGGCCGCAACAGTCTCACCCATGTAGCACATGATTCATAATAAAACAATAGTGGTGCCCAGATCGTCTTCCGTTCCTTCATCCAGCCGGTCTTCTCCCGTTTCTTCTCGCAGAGCGGCTCTACTGCTGCCAACCTTCGCTCTCAGGCTGACCAGGCGACCAAGCCTCACGCCATGTAAAGCACCCAAATTGGCCTTCGACAGTCACCTCTGGGATATGCCAAAAGCGGGACTATGCTGCTTTTCCTGAGCAGGATGTTTCAGTCGATATTTGGGGATGGCAGCAGCAATGGGTCGGTTGTGTTCAGAGGAGGTCGAACGGTAGGAGTCAGCGAGTCTTACAGTCGATCATCAAGCGTACGATTTGATTTTGTCTTGTACGATACAGCCTAGCTGATAATGAAGTCTCTGTGTCCTCTGTGCACAAAAATTTCCCATTCTGCACATCTCGTGTGAGCAGCATCTATGAGGTTTCATGATTTCCGACCACAAGTCAATGCTCAAGAAATGGCTCATTATCGTACAACAATCAGCAAGTTGATCGGTGAATCCATAGCCCATCCTTGTTACAGGCTCACACCGCCATAACCATCCAGCGCCTTCAAAACATTCCAATGCCTTTTCCCCAACCCTCTACACGTGGATTCAACTCTATGTGGAAGGGAAACGGATTCGTCTCGCTAGTGGTTATTGGTGGTATGTGATCCTTATCTCGATTGACAAGCGTGATAATCTTCATGGCTGTTTTCTGCAACGTTGATCCGATGGCCTTCATCACCTTGGTCCGTTCTATTGAATTGTAAGCGATGCTGGATGTCTCCTTGAGTTTGAGGTTTTGGCATAGCGGGCCTACCCATCTCTGTCTTTGGCGTAGCCAGAGTCACCTCCAAGCACCAAGACTCCCAGCAAACCTCTTCATCACCCTTGGCTCCACCCGTGAACCAACCCAGGCCCCCGCCTTTCCTCCTCTTCTTCTCAAAGAATTGTACAACTAGAGAGCCCCGCACGCTGCTCTTCGGGGAGGAAGTAGAGGACAATTGGCGTATGAGTTGTCCAACGCGTGTATCTATCAAGGTTTCGAGCTCAGGGTCGGCAACGAGAGGGAGGGTGAGATCAAGGACTTCGATGCTGGATGGCCTTATGGAAGGAAAGTATCGGTGAAAGAAGATGGTATGCAGTATTCCTAGCTGGGATTAGGGATCTCGGTATTCGAAATATCGGGATGAACATACCTCGAACGATATCTTTGACACAGGTGGGGTCCGCAAAGACTTCGAGTATGTATTGGGGGGGTTTTCGCTGCTCCATACTGTGATTCAGAGCAACCCTAAAGGCTGGCCACTCCCAGCATGGTTGGCAAGAGAATCTAAAGAGTCCCAAGGGTATAACGCGCTGGCCTCGTATCGAGCGAAGGATTGAATAGGATAAATTAACTAACTTAGACGGCAAATTGTGCGAGTGCTTCACTGTTTTCACACTCGTGCTTGTGATTTGATATACGTTAGGTTGACCACCCCCACCTTTCGCCCCCCACTCTCTCGACATAAGTGTAGGTAAGCTTGGCTTTTCCCACCACGCCACTTTAAACGTCTAGCCAACGCGCATAATGACCCTAATAACAAGTATACTGTACTAGCAAAGCAATTATTCCGGACATTCCAGAGAAAAAAACTTCTTTACGGCGTTACCATACAACGACAGTAATTGGCAATTGAATGCCGTCGCCGACTCTCATTTCTTGCGTTGTTCGAGGTCTGCGTTGGTGCCAGTGCGCGAGCTTGCATAGAGGATGATATCCGCTACAAGGAGATGGCTGCAGCGAAACCGCACGGGTGTTGCTATTGGAGTTGGGGTTATTGGGGTCGGCTACGTTGCAGGCCAATATGTGCTATCGAAGATTACCGAGGCGAGAGAGCGTATGGCTGGTAACCGCATAGCTAAAGAAAAGTACAAATCCTTTGCACTCTCTCCAAAACCGGCGCTGACTGAATAAATAGCTTGCGCCGACGATTCCAACATAATCAGGAAGACTGTACTATAACTGTCCTCGAGTTGTTACCTACTGTGGCAGAGAATATCATCGAAGCTTTGCCATCAGAGAAGATTACACAACAGTTGCAGCAGAAAAAGGCAGAGAGGTTGGGTAAGAGCGCCGGCACGTCCGACGCAGCGCCATCAGAACTCTCGTCAGGGACCCCAATTGCAGCAGATGAAGATGGAAGAAGCTTATCGAGCTTCCAAAGCGAAGGCTATGTCCATGCTAGTCAGTTGCGAGCTTCCAGCTCTGGCAACGGTGAATCAAGACCCCCTTCGAGCAAAGCACAGCTGTGGAATGATCTCAAGATCAGTTGTCAGTGCTCTGCGTCTGCTTTTCCCATCTCACTTATACTGATCCACTGTAGCAATCACGAGATCATTCACTTTACTATACACAGTCACTTTGCTGAGTTTATTGACTCGCATTCAACTCAACCTCCTGGGTCGAAGGAACTACCTCTCGAGCGTTGTATCTCTTGCTTCACATCCGCGGCACGATCCTACAATCAGCCTAGAGAATCACGACAACGATATTGTTGAACGAGCATATGGCAATGATTTTGAGACAAATCGCAAATACCTCACATTCAGTTGGTGGTTGCTGCATCGAGGATGGAGAGAAATTATGGTGAATGTCGAGGATGCGGTCAAAGAAGTCTTTGGCTCTGTAAATCCGAGGGAAGACATTCCCCTCGAGAGAATATCAAGGCTGATACTGGATGTGAGAAAGGCAGTAGAAGGAGCATCTCCTGAAGAGCGGAAGTAAGCCGACTTCCCACGTCCATCCTACCCTTGTCGTGCTAACGTGGTATAGGACGCGCAAGTGGCTCTCGTTTCTTCTCCCGCCCTCTAATCAAGAGGAATCTATCCTCCAAGAGTCCGGCATGTCCACCCCTCCAAAGCCGCCACAATCTCCAAGGGTTCAAAACCCCGCATCTACGCCTTCTCCCCTGGCCTCTCCCCCCTCTGTCTCAACAACGTCTCCTCCTCTCCGCCGCCTGCTCGACGAGACATCTGATCTTATCGACTCTCCGATGTTCAGCCACGTTCTCACGCTTCTCCTTGACGCCACTTTTTCCTACCTCGTAGATAGGAAGCTTCGCTCTGAGGCTTACAAACTCGCACCTCTGACTCCCACGCCTATTCCAGAACCCAGGATAACCGAGGTCAGGGATCCTGACCCATTGACTGCCTCGGCGAAACTTGCTACAATATTAGCCGTCATAACGAGGGAAGCGCACAAGATCGGCAATGGGGTGCCGAATGAATATGTGCAGGCGATCGAGGCTGTGAGCGAGCTTGAAGCGTTTGCAGCGGTAGTCTACAGTAGTAATTTTGAAACCGAGGCCGGGGTTGAGACCAATAGTACGCCCGATGCTACGGCTTCTGGAGGCAGAGATGAGAAAGCAGGAGGTGGAAAGGGCGGAGAGGACGAAAACGGCTCGGGAAGTATGTCTGCTGCCGAAGTGGAAGAGGTTGTAAGGGTTGGAAAAGGAGGAGGCACCATGGACAGGGCTGCTGGAGTAATCGATGCTGCATGGGGAGGATTCGAGAACGTTTGGAGTAAGGTAATAGGGAGCGGTGAGTCCGCAATGAAGGGGTGAAGGCGGTACCCTAGAAGATCGCTCAACGGCGTCCCG